CATTTAATCAAACTGAATCATTAAAAAAAAAATAAAAAATTAGGCTTTGTTTTGTGAAGCTTCACATAAAAGCAACTTTCTACTTTTTCTTTAAAGGCATAGTTCCCCCACTCATTTATTCACCCTGGTGTTGTTTTCAACCTGCATGACTTGAAGAATGATAGGGTCCAAACAACAATAGACCACACTGACTCTGACTTTATGAAAACAAAACAGACATTTCTCAAAATATATGCTTTTGTGTTTCACGGAAGAAATGTCACAGATTTAGAAATACATGAGGGTGAGTAAATAACACAATTTTCATTTTTGGATGAATTGTAACAACAACAACAAAACTTATAAACAGGTAATTAATTGTTGTTGCCACCATTTCTTAAATGGTATATTTATTTAAACTTAATATACATTTTGGTATTTAATAGTTGTCAGATATTGGAATAATTTAATATTACATAAAATATTTTGAGATGACCTGGCTGAATAGGAATTTATATCAGCAAAAACATTTTAAAATAATGGCAAAAGCATTTGCTTCTTTCTAAATGCATTGAAAGAATATAGTAAAATAAATTAAACTAAACTAAATTTAAATACATTTATAATAGATAGTCAAAGCACAAAACTGCAGAATACAATATCTGTTACAAGCCATCTTTATGATCCAAAGGACAGAGAGAGCAGAGGCAGTTTACAGGAGTTTATGTATATGTTCATTTTCATTGTCAAGCACAATGGTGACCTGAGAACTTCCGTAATTATATTTTAGTCCCTATTTAAGCAACAATTTCTGGGTTAGTGTTTCTCTGCAGTTCCTTTTTTTTTTTTTGGAAGAAAGAAACACACAGCAACATAGATTTAACACCATTCAGGGATAAAGTTCATGCAATTTTTATACATACAAATACAAGTCTCAAAACACAAAATAAACTTAAATGCATCTTACAAACCAGGAAGTCCACACCCTCTCCTGGTAAAAAGACATATTTCCACCCTTCAAACTGAGCTCCTCTGGGCTAATACAATCAGTTATTGGGGCACTTTTAGATTCTGGTAAATAAAAGTTAGTCATGTGACCCCAGAGAAAGTGATCTATTGTACTTCTCAAAACCAACCAACATTCAATAGACATGCATAGATGTGCTTGAATTATGAAAAAAAAAAAGAAAGTAGAATATTTTACATTGTACATTTTTTTATTTACATTGTAAATAACAATAGATATAATATAGTGATAAAAAAGTTTGCATAAAACAGTGATAATATACAATAAAAGAAAACATATTAAACAAACATATTAAACAAAAAAAAAAAAAAATGAAATTATGACAACATTAGTGAGCTATAAGTGAATCAAAACCACATCCTTAACACTAAGGCAAAAGTCCAAGCAATGCAAGTGTTTCTCATTGGGCTCAAAGGCTTTGAAATGGGGAACTTTATTACCGTTCTAGAGACATGGTTTTGAATGTACTTAATTCCATTTGGATTATAAAAACCTGGATATTTCTGAATTAATACAGTAATTGTACAAAACTACAATAAATGACCTAAAATGACCTGTTTTTCTTTGAATTGTAATTTTGTAATTCATAAGTATAAATGCTTTAAAATGGTCTCAAATTCTTGCAACAGACTTATATTCAGAATTAATTTGAATAGAATCCAGTCCAGATGACTTATGCTTCTGGCTAACACAGATGAATACTTGTCAAAGTAGCACAAAATGACTTATTATAGTCTGGAAGCATAAGTAAAGAATGTGTTCAAACCGATAAAGGTTTTTGTATTGTATGCCATCATTTTTCAGATTTCACTAAAATAAAATAAAATGAAAATAAAATGTCATACTCTGCTGATCATTCAGTAATTAACAGTTTAGAAAATAATTATTCTGACTAGCAATTTTTTTTTTATTTGATCGTTTTATTTCTCAGTAAAAGAGCTGGTTCTCCTATCCATTTGTCATCTAAATTTAATTATGGCACCGTTTACACTGAGTGCAAACACAAATACTATTTGTACTACATCCCACCAACGCTCAATTTACCTTTTATACAAAGAGCACAAAGTGAGCTCACACTTTGTGTGATTAGCATTACGGTCTACTCTGCTCTAAGTGCTATGTTATTTATACTACGTACAAACAGTAATACACCTATTTACACTCAGTGTAAAAAGAATCTACCCTTTATTTTACAGATAAACCACCTACATGATAGTGCATGTCACATCAAAAGCAAAAAAAAAAAAAAAACTCATAATTGATAATATTGTTCCCACTGGATGCTTCAAGTCATGGTCAGAAACATTATTACTCAAGAACTACACACACTAGCGCTACTTCTGACAACAGAACAAATGGATTTGGACTCTGTGCTTTGGCGCACTAAAATCTGTATTGACAGCCTCAAGTCATTGCAGTGTCTTGTGTCAATGAACAATGGCATATTTACATCTAGTTACAAACAGTTGTGAGAATCAATATAATATAGAATAATATTTTCATGCCACCTATGCTGATCTTTGGTTATGTTCACACTCGGGGTGGGCGATATGACCAAAATCTCATTTCACGGTATGAGAAATTTTATTTCACGATAACGATATGTATCTCCATATAGCTATTTTTTTTTATTAAAAATAAGAAAAAGAAGCAAATTACAAACACAAGAGAACAAATAAATATAAAATAAACAATTTATTCAGCAACAGTAGGCTTCAGTAGGTTTTCGGGGTGCAACGGATCGTAGTTGATCCGTGATCCGTACAGATTAGGCTGCACGGTTCGGCACGCATGTGATTCGCGGATTAACTGTTAAGTTAACCATCATAGAGTTAAAGTTTATCATTTGCACATGTTTTGTCTTGCCAGTTTACACATTCAAGCTATTTTAACTCGCGCACTGTTTTCTGTGCGCTCAGCCGCTGCCGCACACACCCGAAGCGTGCACACAGAAAGAGAGAGACACAGCAAATTGATTCCTCTTTCACATACACACACAGTTATGTTAAAATACCCGCATTGGCAAGTATTGTAGTAAACACAGTCTGTTATGTCTTAAGTGCACATAAACAGCTGAGAAAAAAAAAATGGATGTGTGTCAGTATTAGGTCTGTGCATTTGGTCTTAAAGAGACAGCAGCCAATAAATACCTGTTTCTTATTTAACTTGTGCAGTGAGCACTATTGTGTTATTTTACACTTAATTATTATATTTCTGCACCTGAATGCTACTGTTACTGACTTTATTTGTAACTGTTTTGTTATTCATCTATGCTTGTAATTTGTGTAATTGTTCTTGTTTTATTACTAACTTTATTAGTTAAGCTAGAAGTTTTTGCTGTGGTATAGAAGTACTTAAAGAAAGCTTTCACTAATTTTATTTTATTTATTTATTTTTGCTGATCCAAAAAATGGTCCGATCCGTGACTTAAAATCCATAATATGATCCGAGCCGTGAGTTTTGTGATCCGTTGTACCACTAGTAGGTTTATTTAGCATGTAGTAAGAAATATTACAGAAATTGAATAAAGTGTATAAATAAAACACTGCAGTCTTCACTGTATCAATCAAACATGAACTGATTCTCATTAAAGATCCAAAAGTGATTCAGTCAAGTGCAGTGAGTGATTAACATTAATAACAGCAGCAGGTAAATTAGACTGCGGTCCCTTTAAGACCAACTGCACGAATCCAATATTCTAGGCTCGTTCGAGATGCATCGGCGCTGCGCAGACCGATCGGCGTATGACATCAAAGTACCGCGAGTGTGATTAGAGAGCAGACAACTTTTTAAGCTTTTGAATCACTCTCACGGTACATGGATGTCATACGCCGATCGGTATGCTCAGCGCCGATGCATCTCGAACAAGCCTATTGATACACATCCGGTTTTCACCCAACTGTTTATGTTTATTTAACACACAGCCGACTGTGTTTCCGTGAATACTCCACACGATGGGTATTTTGACATAATCGTGTGTAGGGCTGTCAAAATGGCTGAAAAACTAAATTCGAATTTTGTACTTAAATATTATCAAAATTCGAATTATATTCGAATTTAAAATGCATATTTTCAGTTAGGGTGAAGAAAAGCCTTTGGCTTCTCTCCTGAGGCCACAAGAGGGCGCATCATTCAAAGCATAAGATAACATGACTATCTGCGAAAAAAAGTGCATAATGTTTAAAATAATGGCAAATGGCAATGGTAATGGCAGTGGTATGGGGAAAAACCCGCCATAAAGTCTCGATATATGTTTTTTTCAAAGTTAAACT